AAATATTATTTTATACCTTCCTGGTAATACTCTTAGTGCTCTCTCATATATTAGGTTGACTGCTGATGAGTGGGCGTGGTCACTCTTAATCTGCTTGTGTTCAATGTACTTTATCCAGCACTTTACACTGTAAGGATGACGTAGTATTTCTTCTTCAAAAGGAATGTCAGCATCTTCCTATTGTTATTGTTAATAAGGATCAGTTCTTGGTAGCTTACAAAGGATATGTCTTTCTTTTCTCTGGTTGACTTTTCTGACCCACTTTCCTCCATGTTGTATCCGTAATCTAACTCAGTAAACTTAAATCTTTCCGTAATGTTGTGGAACTAGTTGAAATTTTCAGGCTATGCATGCGCAGTTCAAAAATAAAATTGTAGAGTTAATTTTAATTTTATTTCAGCTACAAAAATACTCAGTCTAATGCATAAACTAAAATACTTTAATACTACAAAAACTAATAATTCTACAACTAATAAAAATAATAACAGCAGAAAAAATTACGGCCTAAATAGTCTATATATACTTTGCTCTAATGTTACTAGCAACGTTATTTGCTCCATTTTTTTCCAGTGCTGCAGCTAGTGATGACCAACTGGGACCTCCTTTCTGTCTCACTTTATCTTCTCCTTTTAACCAGGCAGCCATGCACTCCAGTAGACACTTTCTAGCATTTCCTCTACACTTTTCTTCAATCGCTTCCAATGTATTGTAGTACAGTCCTAAGCTAAGACCCAAGTCTTTCCATTCAGTGTAATCAATTGACTGTAACTCATCACGGACATCATCAAGATCAGTAATGTCTATATAAGTAAAATGATAATCATCAACATGCATGTAAATTAGGGCAATGTGATGTTAAAAATGAGATTAAAAATTGTGTCAGTCCTGTAGCAAACTCAAGCCAAAAATCTATAAACCCTAGCTGCATGCATCATTGCACCCATGCAGAAAGTCCTAGCATACCAATAATAATTTAATTTCTAACAATAATAGGGGAGTTGTCATGTTAAGGATACTAAGTTTTGCAGACTTCACATTATCCAAGACATCATCAAGATCTGTAATGTCTACAGTATATTAATGACATGTTTATATCTTAAATACATAATTCAGTACACACACAGCGGCAGGGCCAGCGGATACCTCAAAATGTGAACATGGCAAAATAGCTAAAATGATTTGTGCAATGAATTCTTATTGATGTAGGGCAGGTAGTTTTTAATGCAGGGGTACACTTTGTGTGGGGTTCACTATCATTTTTTGAAAAAATAACGTACATGTATCAATAAGTTACTACAAGATAAGGTATATTGCCAGGTAGAAAATGCTCATACAGGCCAGTCATAGTACTACATGTACATACCAAACAAATGGCTGATTTTTTTATTGTTGGTGTACTGTTGCTTTGTTAGTACCTAGTAGCAAAACCAATAAAATTCCTATAGGATTTACCAAAAATATTTTAATATTTTCAGGAAATTTAAAAAAATGATTTTTGTGAATGTAAATTCAGGGCATTTTCTATTTCACTGTGAGAATTAATCAATATAATTATGGTACAAAAACTACACATTCATGAGTACTTTACCTAGCTTAGTACTAGTATCTTCTATACAAGACACATCAGAACTACAAGTACTAATTACTCCTTCATTTTCTCTTGATGTAGGCTGCATCAATAACAAAAATAAGAATAAAAATAAGACTGCATTAATTGATAATAGTCATTACATTATTTCTGGCTTGTGATGCTGCTGGCACTGCTGTCGCTATGGATGATATGGTTGTTGTCACAAGTGGTGTTGACTGCATTAACATTACATAAAAACAATTTAGATTAGAAATACTTACATCAATAAAGCTTTGAGATTGTCTGGCACTTGAGCTATTATAACTAAAAAACTATAATGCAAAAATTAGTATGCAAAAGATAAATCAAAAATTTTACCTGACTAGTATCCTTGAACCACACTTTCTCATTTTCAGTTAAAGATCGGTAGCTTTTATTATTTTCACAAAAAACTTGAGAAAGTTGATTTTGATTGGTTGGGGGAAGTTTTATATAATGGGATGAAGTATTTGAAGGACAACTAGTGCAGACATACTTAAACTTTTTTGTGAATATATATTGAGTTGGCTTGTTATCAACAGTACATCCACTGGCACACTTCTTTAAAATGTCTTCCACTTCTTTTGCTGCATCTTCCAAAAGAACTCGGACATCTTGACAAATTTTTTTGAAAGATACTGAATCTTGTTCAGAAGGATGATGTATTACATTGATCTGAATGTCATCAGTACAATCAGTGACTGTTACATGCTCAATACTGTTACAATTGGGATCCTGATAACGGAATGTGACATGGTTTCTGTAAATATCTTTCTCAAAACAAAGTTCCATTTTGTTCGCTAGTACAACCACAAAACGAGTGAAGAAACCAGGAGGTACATATCCACTATTAAAGGTAATATGAAGTGGTGCTGCTTGAATGGAATCTGAAGGTAATGTTGAGCTGCTGTTAACTCGTGTTGACTTGAGAACAAGTGGCATAAAATATTGCTTGGAATGAGAAGGATACTTATCTGTCTTAATTTCAACAGCAATGCGAAAATGAACAAGTACTTCAATAAAGAATTCTGGTGATATATCTTTATAATTGTTCCATAGCTCAATATAAAGTGGTTGGACAAGTATCCCATACTTTTGAAAGACCTCCCATTCCATATGGTACCTTTCTCTGTCAGGATTCACACTTAATGGAAAAATTTCTCCAAGAGCATCCACAAAATAATTAGGATTGATAACAATCTTATCCTTTATGCCATCAATTTGCGGGTAGAACAGCAACACACCCAGTTCATGATAAAACATGAGGGCATGAGGTACATCTTCAGGAGGAATTTTACTAGCAGCTCCAATGATACTGGCATCTTCAAAATTAATGACATTAAACTTTTTGCTGAGAACCTGAATAACTTTTCGAAAGAGAACCCAACTAAGAGGTGTTTTTAAAACAAGTTTTTTTTGTGTAAACCCAACGACAGCTTCCCTTAAAGCTTGAAGGGATGGGTCTTCAGCCTCACCTTGTCCAGAAGTGGTATTATCAACAATTACAGTACCTTCAATTAAAGCACTGAAATCTTTACCCTGATATTTCCGTTCTAGTTCCCTTTTTATTTCAGATTTCCTGTCCTTTACACGATCACCATGAGTACCAACACAATACATTCGTGGAAACGCACAAAAACTTCCTTCATTATCATATGTCATTAAGTGACCATGAATGTTAGCCATCCAACTGAGCATGTAATCAAGTGTCGTCATAGGAACCTCCTCTTGCTCCAAGCTCTCACCTTCAATATTAATGACTGATTGCCAGTTTAACTTCAAATCTTTCTCTGCATCGAAAATAAGAAAGAATAATGTACGAGAAGTAAGAAAAACTGGTAAAATTTCAAGAAAAGGCAGTTGACCACCACAGTCCCAAAAATGAAGAAATGGTTGTGGCTTTAAATTTTCTGACAGATCATGGTCTTTAATGTATGATAAAGCATCAGAAATAATTTTTTCAACTTCATAACTAATTTCATTGTTGATTTCTTGTTTAGGCTGAAAACTGTCATTACAAACAGGTGAAGTAGCATCAGGTTCTTTCTTATAAACGGCCAATATTAATCCAGCTAATTCTTTAATTTCATCTTCATATGATACAACTCTCCATTGATCTTCTTCGAGTGTGCGCCAGCCACGTGTGAATGGGCGAATCCTGCTAACATCAGCTACTACAGTACTGGTAGTGTTAGGTTCCCATGGTAACTTCATGAGAGAACGTTTAAAGCTTGTCTTCCCCACACCAGCAGTACCCAGGAATAGAACACGTGAATAGGCAACATCCATTGCTCCTTCAGCTAGTGCCTTTTTGTATGCATTAGCTCTATCAGATACATGTATTTCCTAAAAGTAGACAAGAAATAAAGATTTCTTACCTTGAGGTTACTTTTAAATGCGGGTACTATTAATTGCTAATTTTGCGTTTGGGTTATAAATCGCAATTATTAATACTCACAATTATTAATAATGACATCATGATGCCATATAGCTATTAGTAATAATTACTTAATTGCAATTATTAATACCGGCAAAATCTACCTCATGCTAAAATCGCAAAATTTAGGCCACGTTTACACAGCAACGAAAACGATGCAATCCGTATAGTTTTGTGCCTGTTTTATGCTTCTGTTTACACAGAAACGAATGAAAACATGATAGACTCTTGAATAGAACTCTATGGAAACGAAAACGGTGTTCAAAGTGGATACTTTAAAAAGCGATGCGTTTTGCGTTGCTGTGTAAACATAGCCTTAGTACCCATAATTAAAATTCACTCTAAGGTAAATATTTTATTACAAGACAAATTTTAAAAATATAAAATTCATGACCTATACTTTCTATTATGAAAAACAATGTAGAGTTTAATTGATATTACAGATTAAAAAATAAAAATTTCCTGAGACTGTTTTCTCACACATACATGTATGAGTATAAAAGCAATGTAAGTGTGACATGTACATGTACAAGCATGCCAGGTGAATTCAATTTTAGGAAAGAGTCCTCATGCCATATAAACAAATGTAAATAATGCGTATAACTATGATTATATGTAACAAATATAACAGTTATAAAAAAGAACAAAATAGTGTAAAAGATAAAATGTAAATAATAGTACATATAACTTACTCTCTATTGTGTGACCAAGACAACAGTTTAATTATTGTTGATTGATATCAGAGAAAAAGACAGATTAAAAATAAAATGTAAGTAATAGTACACATTATGACTTACTCTCTATTGTGTGACCAAGACAACAGTTTAATTATTGTTGATTGATATCAGAGAAAAAGACAGATTAAAAATAAAATGTAAATAATAGTACACATTATGACTTACGTCCTATTGTGTGACCAAGACAACAGTGTAATTATTATTGATTGATATCAGAGAAAAAGACAGATTAAAAAATAAAATGTAAATAATAGTACACATTATGACTTACGTCCTATTGTGTGACCAAGACAATAGTTTAATTATTTTTGATTGATATCAGAGAAAAAGACAGATTAAAAATAATATGTAAATAATAGTACACATTATGACTACAAT